GGAAAGGAAAGGCATAATGTACACCTCTGCCTACCTCTTCGGGGATAAAAGGCGTGATGTTATGTTATGTTATGGAAAGGTTGTTGTTATATTTAATATAAGCATGTGCATGTCTGCCTAACCTTTCAAAGAACAAAATGTATGAAGTTTTACTACGGTTATATTAAATTAGATTATACTAAAAATAGTCGGTCTTCATGACAGGCTTACACCTAAATACTGAAAGGCTACTCAATTATAAATTGTACTTCAGTAACGTGGCATCTCTGGCATTTTACAAAGAGTTTGTAAGTTTTTTTTTTCTTTTTTTTTCTGCAAATAGGCTACAAGGCAGCACTATTACACGTCAATTTTATCAAGCGAACGATGAGGTCGACATTTCCTAACTGACTACTCTGAGAAGAAATGCCGAAACAAACTCAGACTTCAGAGGTCTGTCTCTTTTCAAGTCCAGACAAATATGTATGAAAGATTTTGTGTGGGAATCGTGCAAGTTATTTCTGTAGTGGCCTTTTGAGAAAGTACCACAACAGTTTGAGCGAGCTATAATAGGCGCGATTTAAAATCGAGTAGAGTTTCAGTATTTCAGCGTTACAGTTATTGATTAACCAGAACCACAGCTAGCTGCCCACACAAAAGTGTGACAGATAAAATGTTTTACAAAACCACATACTTAGTATTTGTATCATTATTTTTATTGTGGAAACAGAATAAAGCAAGGAAACCACATAATAAATTATTGTTGTTGACTTTAACATATTGGGAATTATAGAACAGCAAGTAATGACCATGTTAAACATAGTATATTACACGGAAATCATTAATAAACATTATAATTCATCAAACAAAGATTTGCCTGTTCGTTTACGTTCAAAGCTCCGAAAGTATGGACCCAATTTGAAAAATTCTTTCACCATTTGAAAGATTATTCTTCAAAGAGTCTTAATTACAGGACTGACCTCTTTGACTTTGGACAGATTTCAGGACAGGCTACTTTTAATCCCAATATGCTACAGCATCGGAAACTAATCGAGAGAAATCTTTAATATACGCGGACGAAGCCGCAGGCGGAAAGCTAATTATAATGATATATACTTACTATATACTATTATATAAAGCGGAAGAGTTTGTTTGTTTGTTTGAACGCGCTAATCTCCGTAACTACAAGTCTGATTTGAATAATTCTTATTGTGTTGGATAGCGCATTTATCGAGGATGGCTATAGGCTATAAAACATCACGCTACCAAAAGGACCAAAAGGAGCTGAGCAGAGCGTGTGAAACCGCGCGGAAGTAGCTAGTGATATAATAAACATGACATATAATTGTAGTACACAATAATAATAAATTATTCAAAAGGTTAAACCCTTTTATTAATATAAACATTTGGATTTAGTAAATCCATGACGTAAATATGTAAATTATTTAAGATAAGAGTTATTATTATGCTAATTACAGTTGTAGCTTCCTTAAACAGTGTTTAGATAACATTAATAAGTATGTATAGAACCTTTATGTCAAATCAATCAATGTTATAGCAAACTGTATGTTTTATATTATGTTTTATGCTTTATACAAAGATCTAGGTTTAAATACTATCTGATAATTGTTTATACTTATTCATTTAACAAATGTAGAGTGGTTATCCATTTAACAATACATTTGTTAGTGTGATGTGATGAGTGGATTAAATTGATTAAGTTTTAAGTATGGCTAATAGATTTATCTCAATTCACATCAAATCAACAATTAGGATTGTCGAAGACTTTCTAAGGAAAGTATAACTCGGGAAATGTCACATTGGCACTAGCTGTTAGCAAGTTTTGAACCCACACTCTCATGATGAGAAGCAACCGCTTCTCTGCATGTGAATGTCATATTAAACCTCCGGACCACCACGACATGCTCCCTATTAGTTACAAGGCCCTAATACATAGTTGGTGAAAGTGAGACTTACATTGAACATATGCTCTATCTCACCCTTCAAGGAATAAAAAATCATGACATTAGCTTAGTCACTAGTACACACTAATACATTATTCCTACTCGTTACTTACTTAAACAAACAAAGTCTAAGTATTATTGATTAAGCATTAAGTAGCATGATTTTACATAATGAGTGGTACAAATTATAAACTTACCTCCTGCTTCAGGTTTGTTAAGGTCAAATACACGTATGAGTTTCTCATTGCTTGCGGTAAGGAGCTGAGAGTCGTCAGCATTGAAGTTTACGCTTTTTACAATGTGTTCGTGTTCGAATGTGTGTACCACTTCACCGTAACGAGCGTCCCATATTTTTGCTGAAAAAGTGAAAATATTTTTTACAAATTATGACATAAAATGGTAGAAATAAAAAGGTTTGAGGTCATAAATATGATTCAAAGACCCATAAAATCAAGTTTGTTTTAGACAAAGTAGGTTTTCTCTGTAGGTACACTTTTCAGACTGCCAGTCGCTCAATTGTCAGTTTTATCAAAATAAAACTAGATTGGGATATCAAACAAGAGTCAAAAAAAGAAGAAATAAAATAGAATCATGTTTTCCTTAAAATAAGTCTTATATTAAATTGACAAGGTTAAACAAGTATTCATTGATTAGTTATGATGCAATCAGTCAGCCAACTTACAACAATACTATATATAATTGAATTAAAAATGAAAGATCTCATTGTCATGTTTGTACAAAAGAATTTCATAGAATTTTGTTGACTGATAGCATTTCATGTAAATGAATAATGAACATAGTGCTATGGTATTATGTCCATAGAATACTTCCATATTTTGTAGCAGAATGTTTCACAATATTAACCCAAATATTTCACTCACTGTGACTAATAGTTTTACACCTAATTAGAGTGAATGTGTGTCTTAAGCTTATTTATTTTTGTCACATGACTACTGTAAACTCATTTGTATTATACTAACTAGATGTTTTAAGAGTTTACTTGTAGAAATATGGTGACATTTCCTCAAACATATTTAAAGTTTATATACCTGAGAAATCAGCTGCACCACTTGCAGCGAGATTAGCATTTTGTGTCAGAGCTACCCCCCACACGGCACCTTTGTGACCTTCAAATGTGCCAATCCAATCACCTGTTTCACCTTGTCGTAGCATGGGCTTGCCATCTAAAAAGGAGTTCATTAATATTACAATAATTTTCTAACAAATAGTGGCATTAAGTACCGTAATGTGCGCCTCTGCCTAGCCCTTCGGGGATAAAAGGTGTGATGTTATGTTATGTTATGTTGTCATTTTCTAACAACCCCTTCCCCTCCCCCTTTAATATGAAAAACTAATTGAATTGAAACAAACATAACTTAGTTATGAAACATAACATCTAACTGGTAAAGAAGGACAAAATATAAATAAACCTTTTTAGTCATTCTACAAAACACATCTCTAATCAAAGACATCCCTTAGGCCCCAGGGTTTACAAACCACTTGTAACTTTAATAAACTTCACTTGTTCTATGTATAAACAAGCAACACTGATAGATTGTGTACACATAAAAGAACAATGACAGGAAGGCACAATTATATCATTAAGTGTTATTGACTATTTTCCTTATACAGCCACATATTGAAAGTCGCTTAGTGACATGTTTTCAAGCCCTTCCATAAAGTAAACATTAATGTCAAGTACTCTGACAAACCTTGAGTGAGCACAAGGTGACCCACAATGGGTGAAATGTCAACATTCAACATAGGAACAAAATTTAATGCCTGCAACAATTCATACACACAAAGGCGTGGAACTTGTAAGTCATGCTGCCTGTACGTGAATAAAAAGCACGAGCACGATCATCAAGGCGAGCAGCCGAGGAAACATACAAGCGGATAGTCAAGGTACTTCCTGCATGTCCGGAAAGAGAAGGTCACAACATGCATAGAATGCATGCCGGCCAAGCGGACAACACACAAACAAGAAAAGTGAAGGCCTTTCGAACACATCTCGTCACCAACATCTGTCACGCAAAACCACAATTCACACACACCAATACACTTGCAAGACTTCTACCCAAATATAGGCCAAGGCGATAGGGTACACTGATTACAAATTAGTCGTCAAAACTCACCTTTGCAGGCCGAAATCAAATAATACCCATCTTTTGTAACGTCACTAAAATCCAAATGCACGACTGGTCTAGTATGGCCACCGCATGTGAGAGGAACTTGCTTGAAAGTTGTCATTTTGTTTATTAATTTTGTTTGTTGTACTTTTTGAAAATAAAACTAATTATCTTTGTTGTTAACTAAAAATTAACCTAATGAGTCTGATCGTACTGAATGTTGACAATCGACTGACGGCAAAGTGGTAGGCGGTATTGCTATAAATGTAGAGCATTATTTTACCAATTTGTTTTTGCGGGTAGGTATCACTTAGATTGAAGTGAGCATCTACCCTACAGTTCTAGGTTTTTTCAGTAATTAAAATGTGAATCATAAGATAATTTAATTGGTATCGATAACGTATGATTCCTTAACGATACAATAAAAATGTTCACAATACAAATACTTCTTTACTCTAAGGTTTATTTACTCGAGATTAATTTATGTTTTAATATTTGTTTTACATACATAGGTACAGAATTATAATTTGAAGCATAATTAATACTAAGCGTCTGCTACTTAGTTATTTATTATTGATAATTTCATCTTATACAACTACAATCCCCTTCTGATGTAACATGGTAAACTTCTTATAATGGGTACTTTTTCTCTAACTATTTTTTTTTAAGTCTCATTGATTTTAATTACAATAAATTCTAGAGAAATCATGTAGAATTAATATTAACTATTACTAAATGAAAATATATACAACATAAAATATAAACTAACTTATTTATTATTTGAATATACGTACCAGAAAAAGAACGGAATTTGTATTGATAAGTATTATAAAAAAATAAATGAACGCAAACGCAAATAATTATTTTCAGTAGGATTAAAAACAATTTTGAATGCTAGCAAGACCAAGAGTATACGCAGTGACGTGTCATTACTGTCATTTGACGTTGATTTGTCAAAAGTATTGAATTTGTTGTGGTTAGAAATTGATTAGGTTTTCTGGTTTTGTAGTAATTTTATTAACAATTATGGATTTCTTCACTTCCATACCAACTCATATTGACTATGTGGGCCAGGCTAAAGCTGAAAAATTGTACAGAGCCATTATTACACTGTTCAGTATAGTTGGTTTCGTATGGGGCTACATCGTTCAACAGTTTTCGCAGTCTGTATACATATTGGGGGCCGGATTCATCTTAGCTGCAATCCTGACTGTTCCTCCATGGCCCATGTACCGCCGCAACCCACTAAATTGGCAGAACCCCAGAAGTAATGAAGAAAAACCAGCAGGAAAGAAGGGCAAGAAATGAACATTCCTACCTTGTTATATGCCGCACACACCATGACCACGAGTGCAATTTCATCAGTTATGTATTTCTTTACTCTCAAATAAAATAGTTAATAAGGTTCATTGGTTTTATTGTGTCCATTACCAAAAATTTTGCTTTGTGCAGATGGTATAAAACACAAATCAATAGAAAAGTCGATGTGGCAAACATTTCTATTGTGAAAGTATTGTTATTACCGTCAATCAATTTATACCAGTAGATAATGTCAATTCGTTTTTGTATTTTGAGGGTGTTTCAATGGAAGTAAAGAGTAAAAAAACATATTTCAAGAGAAACGGCTATACTGAATTTTAATTGATCATAATCATGTTTTAACATATCACCAACTATGTAGATACATTCATTTAAATTATTGCAGGTACATAATTCTACATTAAATTCACTTGCCAGATATGTGACGTCTTGAGAACAATAATTATTATTTATATTAACTACAGAAGATTTTTAAAATAATGCTATTCAGTAAACTATGTAATGAATACGTTTTTGTAAATATTGAATATATTAAACATAGATTATATAAAAAAATAATATAACACTTACTGAATTTCTTTTTAAATTAACATTCACAACACACACTCATAGGATACTATACAAATAAAAAACAAAAATTTGAGCTTCACTTACATTATTGCTTCATTTAAAATATTAATCAGAGAAATCTAACAGTATTGTTTAAATAACATCTTCTAAATTTTATTATTATCTAACAGATTCATGAAATTCTTGATATAATGGTAGTAAGACAATATCATTAGGTTTTTTTAAAAATAACTATTGTAACTTGTGAGGTATACTAAATTGAAATATAATATACTAGCTTCAGCCAGTAGCTTCGCCCACATTCTCATAGGATAAAAGTAGCCTGTATTATTCCAGACCATAATGTTCTCCTGTTTTGAATTTCATCCCTATCCATTCAGCTGTTTTAATGCAATTGAATAACAAAGATACACAAACATTCGCCATAAATATATTATATTAGTAAGATGGCCTACATAACCTGTTTGAAAAAAACATGCATACAAACTGTACTAACAGTTCATAAAAGTTGAACCTACATCAGAGCTTATATTCAAGAGCTGTGGCATCAGATAGCTATTCACTCATAAGTATACATTCCCGTGTTGTCTGAAACAATTACACCTTCTATATATATTTGATTGATATGAGATATATGAATTTGTTCATCCTATATAGTAGAATAGAGATCTACAAAATTGGCTAACTACAGATAAGGCACTAGAACTATTTATTTTTAAACATTACTATATACTTATAACGTTAAAATTTCTAGTGCCCTAAGCCTCGTGTTCACTAGGCAATATTTAAGGTACAATATGAGTATCATACTCAACTCAACATATTGTCTAGTGTATACGAGGCTTTAACATCAAAATACCTCTTTTGTTAAAATGTAACATTGATAAGATAATCTCTACATTTGTAACATACATAGATTTTAAACATAAGAACATAATAATTATGTTCCGATATTCTAATATGTAATCTCATATATCCTCTAATCGAGACAGAAAGGTAACATTAAACTGGAAATTGTGCTTTATCTAAAAGCCTGTAAGTGCAATTAAGCTTTGCAATAAGTATTAAGGATATTGTAAAACTTTTCGAACAGTGAATATAATTAGAATGTAACAATTTAAAACCTTGAGAATGGTCCACTAGCAACATCCTCATAAGAATAAAAAAAATATATTGAGTACGCAATTTTTCTTATTTAATTTAAAAAAAATGCATAATTAAAACTTCCAAAAAATATTCACTGGTAATTAAGACACGCTCCTCTCCTTCAACCTTTCATCCACTTACTGCAGAGTGGAAGTCTCCTTCGCATGCACCATTTTGCCAGTCTTTCTGTAGATATCCACATCTTTCCCACGACCCTGATCATCGTCAGCTCACTTTCTCATTTCCATATTATGTTCATAAATTAATACAATACATCTCATGAAGAAATTTCAACAGGTAGTAATTCGAGGTAGACATTCTAATCAAATAACTTTGACACATACCTACTCTATTATACTACTCGAGAGATTTTAAAGTCTACTCACGGTACAACTAAACAACTTTTAAAATTTCCGCAATGTTTAGGGAAAGGTATATGATACTCATTTATAAGTTTTCTGTAAAACTAATTTTGTCTCTAATTCGTTTGATTACGTTGAATATTCTGCTCTCGCTGCAAACCTCGCAATGTTCGACGGCGTCTTCCATTTCCGAACTTTCACTGGTTTTATCACTGTTGTTCCCTTCGCATTTATCCTCTTGATTTTTCTCATCAAATTCATTCTGATTATTCATCTTTTCCGTGTCATTTTCAGTGTTATCGTTGTCATCATTTTCGCTGTTTTCGTCGCTTCTTTGTACAATCTCTTCTTTATCACATACCTGCTGTACAGTTATTACAGCGAAAATAAGTGCTATACCGTAGTTGACAAGACTTAGGGTGAGCGGGCCCAAAGCTATTAGAAATACAGCCATCGAAAACAGTAGAGCCGTCACAGACTCGTAGTGTCTCCTGCAAATAAAATTAAAATCAGATGATTATTGACATATTTATTATTATTATGTAATTAAAAATAGGTAGTATTCAATTTAATTATGTTCCACAGGCAACACGCCGTACTGTCCGTCGAGACAACTGGACTTGTTTCAAGCCACGTCAGGGGCTGTAGGCTCCACATGGTCTATAATATTTTGTGTGTATATCAGAATTTCTTTTTGCAGTTCAATTTAGAACTAATAACGACTCAATAATTTATAATCTGATATCTGTATGGATACTTACAAATTCTTCCTGGGTCCATTCATCTGCCACACACAGGTAGAACAGGCTGACATAATTAAACCAATGTTATACGAAGTATCAGGCTTCAGTACGATGCTGTATCTGAAATAATAAACACATAAATATTGTATTCATTTTATGATGCATCATATTATGCAAGATGGACTTCAATGGTTGATTGATGGATGGTTTGGCCAAACGATACACTTCGAAATGGAAAAAAAAACAGAAACTAAAAATAGTCACTATTTTATTCAAATTTAAAAAAGTCCTCTTCTGTAAGTCTTGCTATTACTATATCAAATTCAGTTTCCATGCAGGAAAGGAACTTGGGTTAGCTGGATTAGTCAGACACCTTAGATCAAACTTCGTTTTTAGCTTTCTTGGATGTGAACATTTTAACAAATAAAATGCAATAACTGATGCACATTTAAAAAGCCAAGCAACAAAGATTGACCAAAAGTTTAAAACGTTTTAAATGAGCTAAATAAATTATAAGATAATAAATAAATAATGACTGCCTCGTTGGCCGAGTGGTCGGCCAGGCAAGGGGCCCGGCAGTCGCACTTGCGACCACTCGGTTTCGATTCCCGGGTCGGGCAAAGTATTACTAGTTTTTTTTTAATTCAAAGTAGTAGCACGGAGTCTGGAATTGTGCCCGGTATATGGCAATAGGCTCACCCCCTATTACATGGGACTCATAACATAAATAGTGAAAAGTGGGTGTTACATTGTACAGTGGCATAATGTGCACCTCTGCCTACCCCTTCGGGGATAAAAGGCCTAATAAGATTATAACAACTTACGAAAAATTCCTAGCCCACGTGAGTAACGCGGGCACATTGATTAGAGTCACCGCCAACCACAAACAAAACATCATCATGTGGAAGTTCAAAGCGCTGAGATCCTCATCCACATCCGAATGCTTCTCTTCCTTATCATCCATGGATGTTGGACATGTGTTGTCTAACATCACATCAGTCTCCTTATTCCCGTCCCCTTGCCCTTCTTGACTAGATAATTCCTCTTTGATAAGACTAGTTTCAGAAACATGTACAGTTGTCTTTTTCTTTTTAAACATGTAGCAAATTCTGGAGCCTACTTTCGCCATTAGTTTGTATACGTAATCTTCTAGGTACTCCTCGTACATTTTTGATAGCTGGAAATTAGTGAAAATGGTTAACGAATGAATTTTATAATATAAATTTTGGTAAGACAGTAGACGTATTTTAGAAACATTTAAGACTATTAACCTAGTTTCATCTAATATTAGGTAATTTAACGATAATGAGTTCATTAGGCGAGTGTTGAATTAACCGTTTAACTATCTAAATTTTGCTAAAAATAATATAAGAACAAAACAGAACTCAGAGTTTTAAGACTTATTATCAGTATTATAGGTATCTATTAGGTAACATTATTGAGAATATTGGATACAGAAATATACAAGTTACGAATACCTTTCAAGTTTTTTGTATTTTCAAATTTATGCCTATGTAACAATGTCGAAAATCTTTTAACAGTCTATACCTACCAATTTTACGTTAAAATTAATCTTACAATTACAAATGTCTCACAAAACTCACCATAAATGCATAGAAGGCTGCGCCGGCGACGAGGGAAGCAGCTCCACAAGATAACGGCACGGCACAGAGTAATCCAGCGCTGACCACCATCGGTACTTTCTGGAGACCTGACGCCACCTTCTCCGCTAAACCACTGCCACCTCGCCACATTATTCTAAAAAATATAACTTTGTTAATATTAAAACTTTTTAAAAATCTTTATTGAGAAAAAGAGGTTTTTGATTAATCTTAAAACTTGAAATACATTTTCGTTAGCCTTTGTTTAGCAAATCGCGTCTACGTATAAATGTCATATTTTGTAGTCAAGTCAAGTACTACATTTTATAACGATACCTAAGAGTTAAGTCTTAGAAGGGTGAGAGAAAGTACCTAGGCATCAGTGAACTGACTTAAGAATACGTGTGATCCACAAATTGTTCTTTCGGGTCTGGGTGTCATTGTGTATGTGAACCTGTATGTTTGTAAACGCACCCACGACACAGGAGAAAATCATAGTGTGGGGCAACGTTATTAAAAAATAAAAATAAAAAACCTTCAATAAATTAAATAAAAAAGTCGACATCTAGATTATTATTACAATTTTATTGTAGTAATTATGTACCTAGGTTATTATTAAAATAAAGTAATTTACAGTAACTTTGACCACAGCAATACATACCTAAACAGCAATCTATGTGCAATCTGCGAGGAAAACACCAAAGTCGCGAGTAAAACGGTCACCATAATGTTGACAATGCCCAACGCCGTCATATAAGTTGGCAAGACCAGTAAGGACTTTATGAAGTATCGTAACTCCGGATTCTCCCAGCTTGCGCTCTCGAATAAGAACGACATAAAGGGAATCGCTCTGTGAATATAAAAAAAAATCTAGTACATAAACGAATCTAAAAGCGCTTTAGTTAACGTGACGTGACATGATCATCTTGGTGTGTCTAAAAAACTCGAATTAATAAAAAAAAAAGCTAAACATCATAAAAATAATACGACCCGCATTAGTACATTACAGATGCAATAATTACTTAATGATTGAACATTGAACCAATAGTACAATTAGCAATTCATTTTTAATGAATTCGCTTATGTTAATAATGCAGTCACTTTTAATGTGATTGACTGAGTTCTGAGTAAGAACTGGCATATGTTTAATTCAGACTATAATCTATTTCTGTGTCAAATCTTATCCAGATCCGTTCAGCAGTTTTAGCGTGAAACAGTAACAAATAAACATCCACCCATGAATAAATCGTCACAAAAATTCACATTTATAACATAAAATAATAATATACTTACAAGAAAAATGTAGCCCCAAGTCTGCAGAATACAAGAGCATAATACGGCTTGACGCCTTCGCTCATTAAAGCGCTATGCAATGACATACAATGTCCATATTGTTGTAAATGTAGTATGTTGCTTCTTATAGCCAGAAGTAAAACGGCTACAGCATAGGGAACAAGCACTGGGCTGTAGTTGCGAGCATACTGTGCTAGTCTGAGATACCAAGATGTTGATATACTGAAAATGTAATAATAATAATTAATGAAATCTTTTCGATTAATGAATGTTACGATGGTTTGGACATGTAGAAAGGATGGATAAAAGTAGATGTACGAAAGAAGTATACAGAGCGAATATATATTAAAAAGACCCTAATTAAAGGTACCCTTAACAGACGAGCATGCATAAAATGACTGGTAAGGCTGTTGAGGAAGCGAAAGAGGTAAGTTAGAATTGTAGTAATTGGCGTTCTATAGTTTCTGCCTACCCCCATGGGAGACAGGCGTGAGGTTATGTATGTAGGTATGTTGAAATCTGTATTTATTATTAAGTGTCTTATTACACAGTTTTAACGGCCAGTCTCAATAATATATTTGTCAATAAAGGCTACTTTACAAAATTTGATTAGGGAAGGGTACTGTAAGTATTTGAAGTTACTACTGAGCTGTGATAAAATCGTATTCAAATATCGATCTTATCATCACTATAACTCCCAAATGAAATGAAGTATAGAAGTACAATTTTGATATATTTTGTATAGCGTTTATTTATCGAAATAGATAAGTTTATTGAGCCTTTAATAAGATATAGCATATGATCAATTTAAATTAATTGGTTTCGAGTATGGGAAATAAAATATACTCAATTAGGTTATTGAATTACTTCGATTGATTTAAATATAAAGCATAGGTAATAGCAATGACAAAAATAACGTGCAAGCGAAAACCTACCTTATGGTATAAGTACACTGTGGGTCTAGCAGTAAAGTTACTCTGGCATGTTCTGTAGTATGAAAACCTTGTGTCGCATTGGGGCTACTTCTGTACAACCTCAACTTCATCGGCGATTGTTTCATGTGGCTGGAATGGGATAAGATTTCTTTTATGAGCATGAGTTATATCTCGTTTTTTTTGTAGGTGCGTTTACAAACATACAATTTCACTCTAGGTCGCACTTAGAAATTCTGTTCAATTTCCGTGGGGGAATTAAACTCGTAAGACGTTGCAAAGCAGGTGGTTGTATGACCACTGCGCCAATCACGCGACCAAACTTTTACAGATCCTTAATTTGTCGTCACATTTAGGGCCTTTTTAATTTGTCTATCGACTAACTATTAAGCATAAGAGCAAAGAATCAAGATTTAAAAAAAATATAAATTGCTACAAATATTTCTTTTAAATATGATTACTATACAACATGACTGCCTCGTTGGCCGAGTGGTCGCAAATGCGACTGCCGGGTAAGGCGTCTCTCGGGTTCGATTCGGGGGTCGGGCAAAGCAGTACTGGGTTTAAAAAAAATCTCAGTAGTAGCACGGAGTCTAGAACTGTGCCCAGTATATGACAATAAGGACAACTCTTATTACACGGGACTTCAAAACATAAATAGTGAAAAGTGGGTGTTACATTGTACAGTGGCATTAAGTGCCGTAATGTGCACCTCTGCTTATGCTATGTAACAAGATTAGTATGCATTTCCATTTAAAGTACTCACGTAAAGTAATGATAGTTTTCATGGTTTGGTGCCCACGGTACATGTAACTCAGCCGATACGTGATACTGCGTCGCTTTGCAACTCGCTGTAGGTTCGACATGTAGGAGATAAGCCTGGTGTATTAGATTGAAGTCTTTCAATATGACCTCGTAGTACAAACTGTCCGGTTCCGTCTCTTTTAATATAGTGTACTTCCCAAAGAAAATTTCTGAGAGTAGGTCCACTTTAATCTCTCGTGACGCATGGTCGTTTATATCGACGTTTAGGACTATCTGGAAATAAAGTTGATGTGATTAAATACTTATGTAACGCATATGTATATGTTGACTGCCTAGTTGGCCGAGTGGTCGCAAGTGCGACTGTCAGGCAAGAGGTCTTCGATTCCCGGATCGGGCAAAGTATTACTGAATTTTTAAAAAATTCTCAGTAGAAGCACGGAGTCTGGAATTGTGCCCGGTATATGGCAATAGGCTCACCCCTTATTACATGGGACTCATAACATAAATAGTGAAAAGTGGGTGTTACATTGTACACTGGCTAATGTGCACTTCTGCCTATCCCTTCGGGGATAAAAGGCGTGATGTTATGTTATTAAACGTATGCCAACATCATTGACCTCATCGTTCGCTTAAAAAATTGACGTGTACAAGTGCTGCCGTGTAACCCATTTGCAGAAATAAATTCATTTGTTTCACTTGTCATGGTTCATTATAGCCTATACCTAATAGAAATTAAGTCAACAGACTTTACAAATTATCTCTTTAAAAGTAGGTCTATAGAACCCGCATTAGAAAAACATCCTATCATGATTCACCATACAGTTAATTTCCTCAACTAGCCTAGTTTGTGAAGCATTGATAACGTTTTTGGTAATAATCCATTATGTCACACACAGTTATAATATGTTTTGTACAAAAAATAATTTCCATGAAAGTATATGAAAGTTGTTATGACGTAGGTCATACCAACAATTTCGTCATACTTAAAGAGAATTCTATTATCCACACATTGTATAACATAATGAATAAAAAATATTTTATTTACCAACCTACCGAAAGCAAACCTTTTGCTCATTTAATAAATTGTTTTAAATTTAACATAGCTCTTTCATATAAATCATACAACAGAGACAATTTTGGAGATTTGCCAACATAGGGAATCACGGAGCTTAAAATAAATGCCCTTTCCCTTAGTCACTAGTTCGACGGAAGGTCTCTCCACTAACAGATTACGAGATCAACTGTTTTTGAATGACGTCATTAAGAGATGACAAGTGCCCATCATTTGGCAAACTGATAAAGGTATCTGTTCGTTTATCGGTTATTTAATAAAAAAAATCAATCTCGAATATATTGAAGTGCAGTTTGTACGATAAATTCCTTTCCTCTTGATATGTAAATTTCTTTATTTAGATGTATAGTTTATGTATTGTATGTATTTATTTATAAATTGTATGTATTTGTTATAGGTGTATTATTATTACAATTTTTCTTAGTCAAGTTATCAGTGCCAATTTTCTGTTTGTTATTACACACTGTATCATTATATCATTATCACTTTTCCTGCCACAGATCCACAGGAAGAAATTCCAAAAGGAATAGGTGGTAGCTTTGTACTTTAATTTTATATATGTGTTGTTCTTTATGTTGTATGTGTGTACATAAATAATAAATTAATAAAAAAAGACATTGGCTCACCCATCATTACATGGGACTCATAATATAAATAGTGAAAAGTGGGTGTTACATTGTACAGTGGCATTAAGTGCCGTAATGTGCATCTCTACCTACTCCTTCGGGGATAAAAGGCTTGATGTTGTTGATTGAAAACTCGGGTAGTCGAGTATTCATGCGAAGGTAGGAGAATACATTCTTTTTTATAAGTAGGTACACATTTTGTTTATCTTTTAATTAGGGGAATTTTAATGGAGGAGTTATTTTGAGTCTTTATTAACTTGATACCTTTAGGTACGGAATCCTAAAATTTATCGACAAAGTACCACCCTAAATTGATAGAAGCATACCGTGACTGTACTTACTTCCTTGTTTTAAAAAGATTCCGCATGAATATTCAATCGAATCCTATCTAAATTACTATTATATTCTAATTATTTTGAAGTAAGATACTCACCGGCTTCCTAGTAGGGGAAACTTTGACGATAACGTGCGACCAATCAGGATACGCCTCCTTAATTTTATGTAAGTTTATCGTAGCTAGTTTACGTTTGCCAAAGTCAGCAGCGGCACCCGTCCAGCGGCTCAATTCTCCCAAAGATATCGCGTTTTTACTAAAACAAATAATCATTAATTATTACAACGACTTTATCAATAAAAAGGTAATTGAAATTATAAGATAAGAGATAAGAATCAAGTAGGTTTTAATCTAACATCATTAAACTTGACCATAGTTTCAGTAACAGTTGGTTTGATAAGTAGTTTTTGTAACAATAATGCCATTTGATAAGTGCTTGGAAACCACGTTATCTTCAACGTGGTTGCAAGCCAACGGCAGCCGCGGTCGCAGTTTATAAAGTTAAGATTTATTAGACCCACCCTCTAATAGAGCAGGGGTCGTAACAAATATGTATTCTACACTGCCGTCATTGCCGATGATTTTTTTTCTCCTTTAAGTGCCCACGTAATATGGAGACCATGTTTACTAATCTAATCCTATAGTATAATCATGTTTTTTAATCTAAACAATTTACTTTTCACGATATCGGTTCTCGATAAAAGATAAGCTCCGTTAATATGAAAGTCATTAACCTTTGTGCGAAATCAGTGACTTAGGTTGTTCACCGTTCTACTCCGAAAATGACATTGATCGAAAATGTTAATGCTCTCTCGTAGATAAGGGAGGATCAAGGAGGTCAATCTTTTGACCTCAATATTCTTCGTTAACTGACTGAGTATTTGAACTTACTTAGTTTATATACGGATATTGTACATCACATTTCTTTTATGGAATCGGGGGCAAATGAGTGGACCAATCACGTGATGGTAAGCTATCAGAGCCAATAGGTACCCACAACACCAAAGAGCTGGGGGTCAAAGAAGAAGTATGTTCTTTTTTTGAAATTATGAAATTCTATTTTCTTTTGTTTATTACGCATTCAGAGGCAAACCGTTTGACTGATTGTGATGAACTTTACTGTAGTAGGCCATTAAAAACTGATGAAGGACGTAGATAAATCGTTCAAAACAAGCATGACAGTGAATAAATTAAAAAGAAAGGGAGTATAAATAAAATTGATAAATTATATTTATCTCTAAAATGCTTTCCCCGACATTGAAATCGGATTCACGATCTTCCTGTCTGTTTTCGTACTTTTATAGATTTGCTATCATCATAAAATATGCATATTTACAAACGTTAAAGGAAGTATTCATTAATTCTATAGCACATGTGGGGTAAACAAATCTCACCAGTATCGATATGAGAAGTAGGTGTATTTTGCATTGCATCCAAATATCCACTCACTATCTTCAAGATTGATTGCTTCTACGGCTACAAATCTATTTTGTGGGAAGGCGACCAGGCGGATCATTAAATAAGTCATTCTGAAAAAAAAAACAAATTAATTAATGAATTTCATTCCTACAAGAGAACATACAGACAGGTCCTATATCGCCCAAAGGACTTGTAGATCCGATCGATCCATTAATTGCACCCAGGCTTCTTTTTCATTAGTCGTACTTGCAAGTACATACATGGCCAGCAAAGCAGTATGAAAGGATTTTAAGTAAATACTTATTATATTCAACTATTCATAGAATTAGAATTCAAATAAAACGTCTCAGAACAAAATAGTCATCTAAGAGCAAAATGTCGTCTATTGAATAGAACTGTGTTGAAGCCACGATCAATACTTCATTGTTACGGTTTAGTAGAAGAACGCAATTTCTTAGTAATACCAGCAAGGTCGAGCGACTATGCTCTATAAAATCCATATCGGCTCCATAAATTATTCACCGTTGCACTTGCATTTTTCCCACAAAACATTGCCGCAATTACCTACGTAAAGAATGGAAATATTCAAATGACGTAGTATTAGAATCTTAAAATACACGTTTATTGCATTTCTGGATGTCTGCCAAAACATAGATCTATAGGGACAGCTCATAAAAACTCTAATGAGTAAATACGTCTTCTCACGTCATAAGTAAATAGTTGTTTCCTTACAAAATGAAAATTGACTACAAACACGTATACGTTGTACAGAATACAAGCTAAAATGAGCTATATGTGGAGGTGGATAAAATACAATACAAAGATGATACGTCAACATAGTATTGGCGTGGGTAAATGGTACAGAGTTAATATATTCCATGTTAAAAGAAACTAGCATTCTTTTTCTAGTCATTTGAGTTAAGATAAGCCGGTGTATGGAGTTACAATTTGTGCAATTAGATTAATTGGTTATCTATCACTTAAAAATAAATTAATATTATACTAAGAAAACATTTTTATTATTATTTTAGTCATTGATATTATTGGTATTGTACGGTAATTTAGACAAGAGATGGCATTAAAAATAATACGGTATAATATAATTATTGGTTATTGTACGAGCAGTAGTTTACGAAAGTGAAACAATTGAAATCTTGTGGCGATCCACATGATTTCAATTGTTTTACTTTTTAACTTATTCTGCTATACTAACATTTTGCCGAGTGCGTAATATTGGCGCATTTATGACGCAACCTACTAACAAAATTATGTTATTTATAGCCACACTAATTAATTAATGTAGTACAATAAATACTCTCTTCGAACGGATACAAAAACAGCAATTTTATATCTGTGAACATCTCGTCTTCGTTGACAACATACTACACACAACAAAAACATTTCTGTGTACGGGCAAACAGCTCGTACAGTTATCTTAAAATCCTTTCATTATGATTCACCCGTGACGTAAGATGGGGTTTGCTATAGTCTCCCCGTGGCGGGTTAAGCTTTCTGAACCTATTGAACTGCGTTGCGTTTATCAGAGCGCTACTGCCTGCTAGTCCTATACCTAGTAGGTCCTGAGGGACTACACACATTAGCCCCTAACCGTAGAGTCAACAAGGGTTGGCTCTATGACCCCCGTGGGAAGAGCAGGTGTGGTCAGAACTGTACGCTGTTACCGAACGACACATGGTCGAATGTAGATATAAGAATTAATGTATAAGCTACGTTTAAAAAACCTACTTCAACCCCCTCTTTTTTGAAGTCGTTTAATCAAT